ATATCTTATATTTGTTTTTTTCTTTCAAGAAAATGGAAGAAAAGAAGATAAAAAGAACTCGAGAGAGCAACAAACACACAGTATATCGAGGTGTTCGTATGAGAAATTGGGGAAAATGGGTTTCAGAAATACGAGAACCAGGTAAGAAATCCAGAATTTGGCTTGGAACTTTTCCTACCCCAGAAATGGCTGCTCGAGCCCATGATGTTGCTGCTTTAGCCATCAAAGGTAATGTTGAATTATGTGACCATGTTTCTTAAATAATCAAGGGTCGTTTGGTTGGGAAACTAGTTATTTTGAAGATTAATTATCTCGGGAATAGTTATTCCGGAATTGATATCCCACTCTCCTATAGGGATAAAAAGAACACCACAATCTGAGAATATAAGGGGAGTCTTGGCGTATCTGGACGTTTTTTTTCTCAAAAGATTTGGACACGTGGAGATCGTCTATTTCACCTAGAATTCTTTTATATGGCAAGAGTAAACACGAGACGAATTGCTAACTGTTAGGATATGAAAGGGCCTAAAGTGCAAAAAATGACAAAATAATGCAACTTCATATTGTACATAAAAAAATTTAAACTTTTTCCTTTACTTAATTATGTCTTCAGCATGCCATTTACGTGCAAACTTGATTCTTATATGAGTAAAACACGTAAAATTTATTCTTTTATGCATGTAATAATGTTATAAAAACTTAATTAAGTTGTCAGAACGATCGTATTTTATTTAATTATATTATATCTCAACAGGTGACGGTGCAACCCTGAACTTTCCAGAACTTGCAAATTCACTTCCAAGACCAGTGTCACTAAACGCTCGTGACATTCAAGCAGCAGCAACCACAGCAGCTTCAATGCAAATCTCTGACTCTTCATGCAAAATCGATGCTTGCATCAGGGTAGGCTGCCTACGTCACAACATCAGGAGTGCGGCTCTTCCCCGAACCATGCATGAACGCGAAATGCTTCATGCACCGAGCTGTTCTTTATCATCATCTCTGTCAACTTCTTCTTCTTTGTTACCAACTAATTCAACAATGACAGATTTGGGGACGACGATCGATGAATTAACACAAATCATTGAGTTACCAAGACTGGAAACTATTTTTGATGACTCGTTCTATTTGAAAAATGATTTTATGTGTGCTGACTATCCTTCTCCATGGTTGAACTGTGAAGATGAATTAAGAGTAATTTCAAGCTATTTTGAACCGTATTTACTGTGGAATTACTAAGTAAAAAAACAGAATATGTGTCATTCTTCAATTTTTTATGGGTTCTGGATTATCTCTCTCAACTATACTTACTATTATTGTCATTACTGTAATTATATGTGGTTGATTCAGAATTTTAAAGTCACGGGTGACTTCGTAACCTCAACGTACCNGACGCAACTCCGTACCGACGCCTCACTACTACTTTCATTTTTCTTTTATTTTTAAATTAATTAACGGCTAAGCGATTTCATAACCTGAGCTTTCCTTAACCAGCTGACCTTACTTCGTAACCTTAGCCTCCCTTTCTTTATAGTTTTCTAGTTCGACTAAGTGACTTCGTAACCTCAACGTACTTTTTTTCTTACTGTAGCATAGGCCTTCGCCACTTCAAACGGGCGCTTCGCCCCTCTTTTTTTTGAATTAGAAAGAGCGGGGTCTTACTTATTCAGGGGATGAAAGACAAATAAAGGGATCAGGGGGCTTTATAATCGAAGAAAGAGAAGGGGCGTGGTTGGTGTGTCACTGGGTTGGTGCTCGTCGATAAAAAAATCCGAAAGAATAATTACGTATCTATTATCTCTAATCAGTACAAATATCTAATAAGTACTGTAATATTTATGTCAACAAAACTAAGTTGCAATTATATAATAATTACGTCTTAGTTCCAAATAAGTTATATTGGTGGTACGAATCCTCACTTTATTCTTTAAATTCAACTACCACTAAATTATAGAAGAGAAGAAATACTTTAGTATTTTTTTTTTTAATTTTTGTTAAACATGAATCCTAATTTCCATGATTCGTTACGGGTGTCCTTGGTGTCAGGGGCAGATGTAGAGTTTGGCGATCGGGTTCATCGACTAAAACAAGTATTTTTACCGTGGAGCATAAATTTATCTCTAAAAATTATTAAAATTGCAACAAATGGTAGGTCTGAATCATAACCTAAAAAATTCTATGGGCTCAATGCTAAAAACATTAGAAGTTGAACCTACAAAATTTAAATCCTAGATTCGGCTCTGTTTGGTCTATGTATATGTATAGAAATCTTCAATCCTTTTTAATTTATTTTTTTCAAAAGGTACTAAAACGACATTTCATTCATTCATTGAAACTTCTTTATCCTCTCATTTGGTGATGTCCTTTAATTTACCAGTGTAAACTTTATTTTGCAATATTTCAAAATCTTATACTGTGTTTGGAGCAAGAGAAATAAATGTCATAGAGTTTATCGTCAATGTAAATAATGTTAATATTATCACATCATTCAAAAAAAATATTCATAGGTAACTCGCTTTAAAATATGAGATTTATAATTTTAAAAATAAGATAAATTACCTATTATTACACGTAAAATTTTCTGCCACCGCGAGAAAGCCAACACATATGCGCAACAAGTAACGATGAGTACGTAGCAACAAAAAAATAATATCATTACACAAATAATCGACCAAATTTACTATTTACTTTCTAGCCGGTATACATAGATTATATATTAATTATATACAGTTATATACAAATTATACATATATTTATACATCCGCTGTTTATTTTTAATTTAAAAGATAGGTGTGCGGTTATTTAGGTTAGTTCTTCAAAAAAAATTAAGAAACTAGCTAGCTAGAACGTACAAATCCTTCTCTTGATCAAGAAATTTACATTCTTAATTACGTACCCAAATACTTGAATTTCTTTTGCAGTTATATACATTAATAAAATAATGACATCCTATCCAACAAATTAAATAAGTAAATAAATCAGTACATAACCAATAAAAACGAAGAAAATAATAGTTAAATTGTAAAAACTAGACTAATAATTAATCCCTACAACGACTTTGATTTTCCTCCAATATTTCATTTCCCCCACTAATATATGCAGATAAATTCAAATATTTTTCTCCTTCTTCAGCCCTAATATCTCTCCAACGTGCACGACAAAGCACACAATTAATAAATCTTTTTCTACTACTTCTTTTCCATGCCATTAAACATTTTTCATGTATAGGGTTTTTACATGTCCCACAAGCAGCAACTCCTTCTTCTTCGTTCATTTCTTCCAAACACACCGGACACGTGGCCCCATTTTCGACCTGTTGAAACATAATTAAGTAATTAAAATGTATATTTTCTTTATAAAAAAATAAAGACAACCCGGTGTACTAAATTCCTGCTATGTACGGGGTCCGGAGAAAAGGCGGACCACAAGGGTTTATTGTACGCAGTCTTACCATGTATTTCTGTAAGAGGTTGTTTCCACTTAGGGCTGTGCACGGATCGAATCGNGATCCGAATTATATCGGATCGGATCGGATTTTAAAGTTTGGATCGGATCGGATATCGGATCGTATTATTATGCCTCAAAGTTAAACTAATATGTATATTTTCTTTGTAAAAGAGGCAATACATTAAGAAAAATTCATGTTTATGCAATTATGAGAGTACTATGGTGCCAATATAGCTAAATCTAGCAATTGTTAAGGTAATAACTTGGAGGTTGATGTAAATTAAAGTGTAGTATTTATACATGTCCTAATAATTTCGGATTTCGGATTGGATTGGATTAAAATATACCAATCCGAAATCCGAAATTTTAATAAACATAATCCGAAATCTGATCCAATCCGAAATCCGAAATTCAAAATTGAATGGATCGGTTCGGATTTCGGATATCCGATCCGAATGAACAACCCTATTTCCACTGCATGAACGCGTGACCTCATGATCACATGGCAATTGAAACATAGTAATTAAATAATTAAAACTGTGTATGGTCATACCTTTCTATAACAGCATCGCTATATAACAGTCATTCATATAAAAGCCAAATTTCTTGGAACTAATTTTGTATGCTATGTTATAATATATGTTCTCTATAATAGCACTTCGCTATAACAACTAGAAAAATTCAGAACAAATGAGGCTGTTATAGAGAGGTTTGACTGTATTTTCTCAAATAAAAAGGCAACCTAGTGCACTAAATCCCCGCTACGTGCGGGGTCCGGGGAAGGGCCAGACCACAAGAGTCTATTGTGTGCATTCTTACCCTACATTTCTGCAAGAGGTTGTTTTCAAGGCTCGAACCCGTAACCCAGGGGCGGATGTAGCTCTATAACATCGGGTTCAATTGGCCTCATAACTTTCGGCGTAGAGTAAAAACTTATGTACAAACAATTATTAATATCGCAGTTTAATTGAACCCATAACTTTCGATGTGGAGCATAAATTTATGTACAAAAAATACTAATATCGCAGTAACTTATAAATATGAACTCATAACTTTGGGATATAATTTAAAGGTTGAACCCATATAATTTAAATCCTAGATCCGCCTCTACGTTAATCTCCTGATGCAGCAACTTTACCAATTACGTTAAGATTTTTCTTTATTTTTATGAGCAAAAGTCCTATAACAGAATGCTAACCTTTATTTGTATGGGCGAAGTCCTTTGGCGCTTTTCTTGAGAAAACAGACGATGAAACATTCCACGTAATTTTTCGGTTGCTAATGCTTCAGTTGAAATAGGTAAGTTAAGAAGACGTTGAAGCTGACATGGCCGAAGTGTCCTTCGATAGAGACACGTGTCATCAATGGATACACCCAAAACCCTAATAAGCACAAATATTATTCATAAGGCAGTAATAATTTTAATTTTATTTCACTTATAATATATAATAACAATGTAATAATCTTCATACTATGGATGTGTTTTAACTTGTTATTTCAGAAAACATACTTTATTTTCAGTTTTATATAACTAATAGAGGGTGCTTATTTTTAGGTTAATAATTATTTTCTGTAATTATTTTTTAGGTAATTACAAGAGGGGTTGCTCTGATGGTAAGCAACCTCCGCTTCCAACCAAGAGGTTGTGAGTTCGAGTCTCCCCAAGAGCAAGGTGGGAAATTCTTGGAGGGAAGGATGTCGGGGGTCTATTTGGAAACAGCCTCTCTACCCCAGGGTAGGGGTAAGGTCTGCGTATAAATAATATTTTAAATATTTCATAAAAGAATGAGCAAAAGGATTGGAAAGTTGAAGATAGAACAAAATGCTCTCACCTAATAAGAACAAATAATATGTGTTTGCATGGGGTGGTACGATCAGGGCAGCTGCATGAAAGGGTGGTGGAGAGAGTCACGGTGTAGACATTACACGTGGCACCTAAGACGAAAAAAGTGGCGTCGCAACGGTGGAGGAGGCGGAGGTGGTGGCTGAGAGCTCGGAATATTCTGTCGGCGAGGGGTTGAGTTGGCGTTAAGCGGCGGCGAGGACGGTAGTGGTGGTGGTGGTGGTGGTGGTGGTGGTGGTGGTCGGAAGAAGAAGAAGAAGAAGGGGTGGAACTAGAGCCAATGGATTCCATATTTTTGGAAAGGATAAAGTAGTTGTTATTACAATAGTTGGTTTTGGGATATTATACTGTAAATAGAAAGAGGAGATTATGTTTCTTTAGGAAAAGGAAAAAGTGTGGTGGAGATTCTTTGTAGAGTTTGAAGGGATACGTGAGGGATAATTTAACCTTTGATTTGGTATTTTCAATAAATTAGGTTACCCCTTAAGCATGTCTTATAAAAAAGCCGGTGCACTAAGCTTTCGCTATGCGCAAGATTCGAGAAAGGGCAGGATCACAAGGGTCTATGGCAGTGGCGGAGGCAGGATCTCCTCGAAGGGGGTTCAAAAAAAAATTCTTGTAACTAGTGGGAATTGAAACCCATGACTTTATGTAGATTTTGAACTCACTTAACCACTAAACTACACTTTTGGATTGTGTTAAGGGTGTTCAAAACTTAATAATATAGAGATAAAAATAGATTTTGCCTTATATATACAGTGTAATTTTTCGGCAAAGGGTGTTCGGGTGAACACCCTTGTCCCCCCCCCCCCTAAACC